GGTGAGTCCAACAAATTTACTTCAGGATATTTTAAGTTATACAGGAAAATATGTTAAATAGTATCATTAAATACAATGATGGATTCTCCCTTTTATTGAGTTTTCTGAAACCGCATTGAGCCTGAGATTCTATAATACATCATACAGTGTTAACACATCCAGTATAACACAGCCATCCCTGGTTGCTGTTTATTTAATAATAAATGAATTAATTAATAATAAACAAAGTAGATAAACCATTTTTTGCATCAAGAAACTATATGAGGAATGATGGATGACGGGGAAATCAATGCTGGATGAACAATAAGGGGAACATTAACATTAGCAATTTTCAGAACTGTTTTTGTGTAATGTGTCTTTTGCATCCTGTGCTTTGACCTCATCTACACATGACATCACAGAAGAAAAGGGCAGGAACCACGCTGGTACAGTGTGAGGAGCACGCCCTCTTGTGCTCAAAGCAAGAGAATCCATACATACTGTTTCAGTTGTTATGAGCCTGGTGACTGTTGATGTAAATTCTTCATCCATTTGCCACCAAACACCTGGAGGCAGAAGTTCATCATTTTTATTAAAAGAAGTAGAGGAAGCAGCTGTAGCAATAGAAAAAGATCATCCTTGGGTACAGGAAAAGGAAAGGTGCGATTCTGATCTAGAAGACTTTTCAGTCTTCAGGCTTTGGACCTACTTCTCATGCCTCCCTGCTCTCTTCTGATGGAAAAGCCTCCCAATAGCATGCTTCATGTCCTTGTTTCTCAGACTGTAAATGATAGGGTTGAGGAAGGGAGCAAGGATAACAAATGTGACCGCAATTACTGTGTCCCAGAATACTGAGTATGTGGCTGAGAATCGCAAATACATGACAGCTACACTGCCAAAAAACAGCAAGAACACAGCAAGGTGGGCTGCGCAGGTGGAGAAAGCCTTGTGCCGGCCCTCTGCGGAAGGCATCCCCAGAATCAAGATGATGATTCGGGTATAGGATAGGGCGATCACTAGGAAAGAGGCAAGGATCTCCACTGCATGGATGGCATCCACAATGACCACCAAGGATGTATCTGTGCAAGCCAAGCTCAGTACGGGGCTGAAGTCACAGAAGATCTGGTGGATCTGGTTGGAGCCACAGAAAGGCAGTGTGGCAATCCATGCAATCTCAGGGAGCACGAGGAGGAAACCACAGAGACAGGATCCAGCTGTTAGTTGGATACAAAGTTTGGGAGTCATGATGGTCCGGTAACGGAGGGGGTGGCAGATAGCTATATACCTGTCAATGGCCATTGCTGTCAGGACGCAGCCTTCTGTGATACCCAAAGAGTGGAAAAAGTACATCTGCATGAGGCAGCCAGCCAGGGAGATGGTCTTCTTCTCACTTATTAGGCAGGAGAGCATGTTGGGAATAGTAGTTGTGGTATACCAGATCTCCAGGAATGAGAGGACACTGATGAAGAAATACATGGGCGTGTGCAGGGTCATGTCCAGCTGAACAGCAATGAATATCACCAGATTCCCTGATATGATAAATATGTAGACAAGAAGCAAGGGGATAAAGAAGAGGAGGCCACCTTCATACAGTTGGGGGAACATGGAGAAGAGGAACTCAGTCACCAGTGTTTGATTTCCGTTGCTCACCAACTGGGTCATCATCTGTGAAGAGATGAAAAGATGTAAGGAGCCTCCTGGAATTGCAATGTTGATTACCCAATGATTGCTTTCTATATTCAGTTACCCCATCTGAAAATAATATTCCAAGCACGTCACAACTATTTGCAATTAAAAATAATTTTGTGTCAGAAACAATTGAAATATTTGTAACTTGATGCCTGAATGTCTTTTTATAAAGATCACTGATTTATGTGAAGAACATTTAAAGAGAGTCAGGACTGTAACTCCCTGGAAATATTTCTGGAGGTTTATTCCCTTCATTTCCGGAGTTGTCCCCCACAGTTCCCTATTCCTCTGTGGCTGACCTCAAAATTTGAACCTTAATTTTCAAGCACTTTCTATTCCTGTTCATCAGGGTGAAAAAGTACAAAGAAAGTATCAGGAACTCTTTTGCCAATAGTTTTCTGTGTTGCTTTCTCATTTTTCTCCACACTGATGTGGAGCCTGAGGGTGCCTGTCTGAAGTATCATGGTCGGCTGTTTTTCTACTGACCTAGACTGGCATGTTTGTTTCACATCTTGTGATGATTATCCAGACAGAAGAAAATTTTCCGCCTCACAGTCACTGCTTTCTCTGTAGCCTTCCCTTCTCCCATCTCAGTGGTTAATAATGTCAGTTGTTCAAATCAGGGACGTCTCCAGACGTCCTTGCACCAGATTAGTGGCTACTTCTTGACACGCTTGTAACTGTGCCACAATACAACCCATCCTGCCTATTAAGGCTTTATCCAAGAGACAAAGGAGGCAAACCGTTCTTGATTAAATCATAACTATCATAATAGTAGATGTCTTAGGAAAAAAAAATCTAAAATTACGTGCAACAGAAATTGTACTAGCATGTATTTGTTGGGTTAAAGAGTAAACTTAGGAAGTTAAGGAGAATTAGTGAAAGTTGTATGCACTACCTCACTTTGCTTCAATATCTATCTTTATTTACTTATTATTTATTTATTATGTGTATGTTTTGCCTGCATGTATGTAAGTGTACCACATGCATGCAATGCTTGTTTACACCAGAACAGGCTATCAGATTCCTTTGAACTGGATTTACAGATGGTTGTTAGCCACCATGCAGATGCTGGAAACAGAACCTGGGTCCTCCGGAAGAGCAGCCAGTATTCTTAAACACTGAGCCATCTCTCCAGCCTTATTTTGATACCTTGTTTACTTGTATACTTACCTCTAAGGAGTCATACTGCAGGTGAATATTCTAAATGTGGCTTTCATGCACCTTTCTTTCTCAAAACGTTCAACTCTAAAACTCGGAACTCTCAGACTCACTGCATTGCTATCTCTAATATTAGCCCTGGTTCCAATCCAGTTCAGTCATCAAATATCCTAAACACTCAACAACTGCAAAAATAAGACCAGTATCTTCCAGTTTTATTTTGGGACATACCAGTCCTTTTATTTTCATGATCTCCTGTAGAAACTTTAGGTGCCAGTGTCCCCATTCCTTTTTCGTGGAAATTTACCTGATATCCACTGCCAGAGCAATCATTATCCCCTTTAACCCCCAAAAGTACTTTAACATTTTCCTCTATTATGATGTCTTAGAAATCCTTCCTTGCATTTCAAATATTCACTTGCCAGCATTATCTCCCTCAAGTAAATGGAAAACTCCTTAGGATGAATAACAGGAGAAATGGAGTGATGCTGAGGACTAGTTACTCTGCCATGATAATAATGCTATGCATACAATTTGTTTCACGTACTTTATATAGTTTGTTTCTACCCATGACAGACTGTTACTACTGAACTATATAATAAATAGAGAAACTGAGAATGAGTGAGGACAAATAACTGGTTCTAATTAACATAGCAAGGACTCAAAGTAGCAACTTGAAAGCCAGATCTGTTTGTTTTAGAAGTTGATTGCCTTCTTTTTATGAACCCCTATATTTATACATTTATTTGTCTGTTCTTGTTATAAGGCCACAGAGCCGATGTGGTTTCTTCAGGAGGACAAAACCAGATCCAAATAAATACATGGCATATTAGAAAAACTAACTTACAGGTGAAGCCTCTGACTTTACGCTTCAAGCTTTGAGGAAGAAAGAAAGAATAACCAGCTTTGAAATGGAATAAGCTGTAGTACTCAGCAGGACTGCAGTCTGCAAGGAAACTGGTGTGAGACCGGGGGGTGACTTCTGACTAAAGTATTCATTTCTCTGTCCTATCCGAATTTCTCTTTTTTCATCCTGAGGCATCAGAAAATGGTAGCCCATGCTTACAGAGCAGGACACCACGGGGTTGTGAGAAGGGACACGAAAATCCAGTGATAAGTAGCTCATCGAAGCCTAAGGAAGTGGCTGGTTGGCTACTCTGCTCTTGACATGCTTCTAACCAGTGAGCCTGCATTGTTACTCGTTGTTCACACGTTTATGCACCTGACAAGTCAGGATTCTTCTGAAATGTGTCAGTCACTATAATGGGTTCAAGAGTTACACTGAATGTCAAGAAACATTCTTAGTCCTGAAAAACACAAGGAATGTAAAATACTTGTGAAATGTAGATAACCAGTAGGATCAATGATATCAGATTACAAATAGTGCTTGTATAATAAAAAGAAATCTGATTAGATTTTAGTTATGAGAAAAAGCAAAGGTTTGATCTCAAATAGCTTTTAATTCTTTGAGCGTCAGCACAATTTTAGTGATTTTCACCTCATGCATCAAAGTCATCATCAATTAACTGATCTCTATTCCTTCTAGTGGTATTTCTGGATTTCATGTCTCATTATTCTAATTATCTACACTCATAAAAGAGGTCTTCGCATAAACAAAGGGGAAGTCCAGAAAGGGAGCATCTACGTTCTGAGGAGTAGAAGATATAAAGCAAATATTAGGCAAGGATAATCAGAGTAGAAACAAAAGCAACAAAAAAAGATCAATTGAATGGTGAGTTTTAAGACCAGTCTGCAGAACTCACCTCATTCAAAGCCATGAAGCACTCCTCAGAATCTGTGTGCCCATTGACCCCTCTAGTTTCTTCATGAGCATATAGATGTTTCTGAAAACTCTGCAGGGAACATCTTGAAAGGAAAGATTGCCTTTCCTGGGAATTTCTCTTTAGGTGATACAGTATCTAAAGGAAGACAGTATGTCTCAGGCTTCCTCTCTAAGGGATAAATTAGGGGAAAAGTGTGACATGGTAATGAATCATTCCTCAGACTCATTCCCACAAAGCTTGTCTACTATACAGGAACTTAAAACTAGGCACTGCTACCCAGAGTGGCCAAAGAATTCACCATGGGCTCTAGAGAGAGCCTACTCATAAACAATGCTTTCCTCCTGGCTTTTCAGTAATATCCATTATGATTTTCATCTTCTTTACTGAAGTGCAACTGTGTGTGTATACTCACATGTATATGTGTACATGTGCAGGCATGTATATGTGTGTGCATGTATGTTAAAATTACAGCCATGGTTTTAATCCTAGCACTGGGGGGCTGAGGGTGAGTGACCAGAGGCCAACAGATTTCTGTGAGATTGAAGCCAGCCTGGTCTACATAGTGAATTCCATGCCAACTGGGGCTACAGGGAGAGACCCTGTCTCACTCTCCCCCCAAACAATAATAATAAAATAGATTAAATAAATTTTAAATTATAAATTTAAAATAAATTAATGACAAATTGTGAGTTTGGTTATTTTTAAAGGACAATTGGTAACATTTGTCACTTTATCTGATTAAAAGAGCAAACTGCAGTTGTTACCAGTTAATGCAGAGAAAAAGAAATATAGTGCATTCAACTTATTTTAAAAAGACATAGAATTTAAAATGACATAGCATTTTGTATAGAAATTTCCTAAAGAAAGTAAAAACAAATCTTGAGAGAAAATTTAGCCAGTAGAGACATATGGACCAATGTATTTAAGAAATAGGTTGTTACATAGTAATGTCATCAATAGTGGGTGTCACAAAAAGAATTTGAATTTATCAACAAGAGTCAAGAGATATAAAATACATGTATATATAAGCTTAATAGAAAAATAAACACAAAACTCAACTCACTGAAAAAAATACTAGATGGGAGGGAAATCAATTAGAGAGGAATGTAGAACAGGATTCACAGTTATTGGAAATGTGTCGTTTAGATGGTTTCTAGGGGTCTGTATAAACAAAGGGAATAAAGTAGAGACAGAAATAGAGATTTTTTGATTTAATAAATCAATAGTGGATTTTAGTCTAAAGAATCAGTCCACCAGATTACAATGGATAGCTCCAAACCCATGATCACAGACAACCCTGGATAAACTCAGTGGGTCACGAAAATAGTAGAGATGAAGTAAACTTTGTTGAGAAAAGGAAAGGGAAAAGGAAATCAGACTAGGCCTTCAAAGCACTGGTGAGTGAAGAAGTGTCCATACTCCAAGATGAACAGACCTGAACTTACGCACACCTGAGTGACAGACTAGAAAGAGAGACCAGTTCAGGAATACACAGATAAGTAGGTGAACTGAAGAAACACTGTCCCGGGAGGAGAGCTGGAGCTTCTGAGATACTTGTCTTAATCATCCGCTTACCATCAAGTAAGACTGAGAAAAATCAAGGTGATTGCCGAAGTTCATGACTGTCCTCAATCACTACCTATGTCTTAAACTTATTTCATGTGTCCATCAAATGCTTGTTAAGGGTGTGTCTTTAAAGCTAGTCATTCCAAGTCAGTAGTCATCATCTCAGTCTCTCTCTTTCTCTCTCTCTCTCTCTCTCTCTCTCTCTCTATATATATATATATATATATATATCCTATTTTTTAATCAATTAAAATTAAATTTTTACACATGTATACAATGCATACAGGCCATCCGCATCCTCTATGTTGCTACCCCTGTCTTTTCCCCTTTCTCCTCACAAATTCTCTCATGCATTAATGTCTATTCTATGTTTGTTTTGTGACCCACTGCATTTATTCGGGCTGTCTGTGATCATCAGTTTGGAGCTATCCATTGTAGCCTGGTGGGCTGACTCTTTAGATGAGAATCAACTACTGATTTATTAAATGACAAAAGCTGTAGATATATACACTGGGCCCATAAAAGACAGGTTCTAGTTCTAGTATTTTTAGAAAATTTCAAATATGTCTTCAAATTGTATTTCCTGTCCATGTCCACTGCAACCACTCCATTTAATGTTTAATGACTTATTCCTGCTTTATATATTTTCCTTTGTAGTAGATGAAAAGAATCTTATATGTTACACATTTGATTTTCCTATGACTTTATTCTCTTGCAAGTACATATTAGGTGCAATGTCAGATTTAAAAGAGAGGAAAGGAACAAAAGAGAAAAACTCCTCTACTTGTTGTCTCCACACTTTGTTTGAAGGACATTTCAGTTCCAGGTCTCTCCAAGGGCTCACTCATTTGTGCTTTTCAACACAGCTTTTATGTAGCAATGAAAGCCTGTCTTCTAATTATTTCCTGAATCCCAGAACTATGGGGAGATATCTTGGGGTCACTAAGATCTGACAAATCTCAGAGAGACCCTGCAACTCAATCCACTATGGCTAATGGCAGTGTGACCCTCTGGATCCTTCTGAAAATTCTATTGAAGTTGAATCCGCTGTCACATACTTCAGTGTTGTGCTGACTGAATTTGTTGTAATGACTAGCAAGAAGATAATTTCAACTTTGAACTTTATGTTATTGGCTTTATTCCTTTTGTTTCTTATTATTTCTGTCCCAGGATATCTCACACTTCCTAGTACAAGTAGCTTTCTCATACCTCACATAGAAAAGAAAACCAAGTATCTCTTTTCATCAGCTATTCAGTCTGACTTAAAATCCTAGTTTCCCATGGGTGTAGAGCCTTCATGAAATGGGTGGCAAGAGTTCCCTAATGAGACCCTTTGGGTACAAGTTGCTTTTCCCTAGGCACTGGAGGGACTGTGCCAGAAGAAAGTCTTTCTCCACTGCTTATCCTCTGAGAAAACTAGTGTTGTGGTTAGAAATGTCCTATTTGCTGTGCTGCAGAGAATTGGTGACATTTGGGTAGAGCTTTCTGAAGAGGTAAGTATGAGATGGAAAGACTTGCAGAAACTCTGCCCAGGTTGTCCTGATGCATGAGAGAGGAGGACCATAGCTTATTTTTTCCTATGACTTTTCTCTCCATACTAATTTCCAACTTAAATTCTAGCCTAGAATTCTTTCGTATTATCTAGTAAACTCAGGAAAGGCTCCTAGGAGTAAAGGAACCCCCAAGAAGTCAATGTCCCTAACTAGATGAAGTTCTGTGTCTCCCTCCCCTCAGAAACGATAGGACTCCTGTTACGTATGATTTTGCCATCTTCCTCTTTCCAGGTGTCCTACTGACGGAGTAATGATACTTTCCATGCACAATTATAAAGGTATTACACAATACCATTAAAGAATGTTAGTTATAATAAATGCCAAAAATATGGAGATGTCAAAATCATTTTAAATATTATATGCATCCATATTATTTGTGATCCTGAGACACTCAACTTCGGTTTGATTTTTTTTTTTTTTTTGAGGTTGGGTCTCCCTGTAGACCCAGCTGGCCTGGCGCATGCGATGTAGACCTGGCTGGTCTTGATCTCACAGACATCCGACTATCTCGGGTCTGTACCACTGCACTTGGTTGATTTGGAGATTTTTAAAAGGGTATCCCCAGGTGTTTAAGATTTTTAGAGCATCAAGGTCCTTGCTTTAAGAACTCTTGCTTCAGTGCTTGGGTGAGACTGAATTGGACCAAGTCATTTGAAAACAGTCAACAATCTGAGCATAAACTATTTTCCTATGAACATCTACTTCTAAAATAGTAGTTTTCTTGAAGAAATGCAAAAGGTGTTTTCCTCCATCATATTTCTAGTATTTAAGCACAGATATTATATTCCAGAGAATCTCTAAAATCCAAACAAAATCTCTGACTCCTGTATGCCAGGCTGCTGTCCCTATGTATGTAATTGCTTGTTTTGTTGTTTCATATAATTGAATGCATTTATTGTATCAATAGTTCATAAATGACTGGTTCTTTTTTTAGTAGCTGTAAAGAACTTTCACTTTTTTAAAGTCTGATCAACAAAAACCCCATTAATAATCAGTTGAATTCAATAAAGACACAACTAGAATTAAATAATTAATGCAAACAAATGTTTGCTGTAAAATAGTTACAAAAATACTATCCAAACTGTTCTTAGAGCCTCACAGAAATTGCAACTGATTTCAGGTCTCTGATTAGGAGAATGAATGAAATTTTCAGACAAAGATAAAAATCTGAAAAAACTCTCACCAGTAGAAAAGTCAAGTTTCTGTTGAGAATAGACAATGATCCTCTAATGAGCAAGGAATACAAAAGTGAATGCATCATGCTCCTGCTGTATCCCTTTGTGATTTCTAGGCTTTTGGACTGATTGTATTCTCCTATCCTTTTCAAGCAAGGAGGTGAATATATTCCTAGACATTGACAGATCTTTTTAAAGTTGTCAAATAATAAATTTAATTTAAAAACTCACTGAAAGAACAAGTGCCAAGATATCAATAAACCCATTTTGGTATTGAGATAATGTGCAACATTTTTTTCATCTATGTGTTTTTACCTATTTAACAAGTTTTCTGCATTGACAAGCTAGTACCTTGTAACTGAGGGGAGGGATGTGTTTTCTACAGTGAGCCAGTGAAATGTTATATTACTTTTAGTGGGTGTCTGATAACATTGCGCTCGAGAAATAAAAAAGAGGACATTGATAAGCTATGTTTGCTCAAGAGAATAAAAGGCTTCCAGTTCTTTTCTACATTCCATAGTCCTAAACATAATGCTAAACAACAATAAATGCTGGATTGATATGGTTTATTGATCATGAAAACACATGTAGCAGGATCTTCTGGACTGCAAATGAATGAACATAACTGGAAGTGAGTACTTCTAGTTTATAAAATAACGCAAGGACACACATGCACACACACACAGAGGGACCATTATAGGATCATTCCATGAGAGAGAGAGAGAGAGAGAGAGAGAGAGAGAGAGAGAGAGAGAGCTTCTGGAGAGCCTTTAATTTGCCTTGAAAAATCTGTTCTCATATACATCAACTGTGAAAATTGTAGGGGTACTAACAAATCATGATCAACTGGTTTTACAAAAAAAAAATACTTTATATATACCACTGGCTCTTTTTTCCTGCTCCTCTTCAGGGATAGCAGTCCTTGATTTTCATGACCAGGAAGGGGCAGAGTTACCATCTGGTGGGTTGAGATTAGGGGTGTTACACACATTCTACATTACATAGGAAACCAAGCTTCTTCCCATGAAGAATAACGTGATTAAAATTTATCAGCAATGCTAAGCTTGAAATTTTTGCAGTATACTACTTAATGGATTGTATACAGTGTGGACACAGCCAAGGATATCTGAAGTGTTGTCAAAACCTGCTTCTTAGGTGAACTGCTGATTAAATCCTTTCAGATTTCCCTAACCACTCTTAAAATGTAACATGAAGGTCAGTGTATTTGGAACTAACAGGAAGCCTCCTTCATAGTACAGATTAGACTATCCTGGACACACAGACGGGATAGACTGTGGTATTTTAAAGTAAATTGTGCCCAGTATAACATTCTCTCATTCTTTTCACTCAGCTATTATCAAAGATGCTGAAATAAGAAACCTGGTACCTGCCCTGTAATATTTAAAACACTCAACTTTAAATGGTCTTGTGCTTATCCACAATGGTTTATTTTGTTGTCATTTTTTGTTCTCAATAATCCTTCTGAAAATCAAAAGGTCAAATGTTAAGATTTTGTTAGGAAACTTAGTATCATAATGAATATCTCTGTGCCTTATGTATGTAAAGCAATTATCCCCTCACAACATAATGAAATGCAGTTTCTAAACATTAAGGCTCTCAATAAAACTTGAAAACTTGCCATTTAAGAGAATGTGTACCAATTTATACTTCTAAGTACCTAACCATTTCCTTAAATAATGGAATAAAATCATTTTTAAAAATTTGCAAATTTAACAAGGTTTTATAATTTTCAACAATTCATTGTATATTTCATATAATGGGCTTCGTTTCAGTACTTTTCAGCTGGTTAAAAAGAAGTTTCCAATCTTTTCTTTGACTTTCAAATCATTATTTTTCTTCACTCAGCCTACCAGTGTAACTGCTGAAGACATGAATGAGGAGAACGAGACAAAAGTGACTGAGTTTCTTTTCTCGGATTTCCCTCAGATTGAGAACGGTGGTCTCTTATTCTTCATTCCTCTGCTCTTCATTTACACGTTCATCGTGTTTGGAAACTCCATGATCTTCTTTGCTGTCCAGCTGGATGCCCGTCTCCACAACCCCATGTACAGTTTCATCAGCATTTTCTCCTTTCTAGAAATTTGGTATACCACGGTGACCATTCCCAAAATGCTCTCCAACCTGGTCAGCAAGGAGAAGACCATTTCTTTAGTTGGCTGCCTGCTGCAGATGTATTTTTTCCACTCCCTTGGAGTCACAGAAGGCCTAGTCCTCACAGTGATGGCCATTGACAGGTATGTCGCCATCTGTAACCCTCTCCGCTATGCAGTCATCATGACGCTGCAACTCTGTATCCGGCTGTCCACAGGCTCTTTCACCGTGGGCTTCCTTATGCTGCTGCCAGAGATCGTGTGGATTTCTACTCTTCCCTTCTGTGGCCCCAACCAGATCCACCAACTCTTCTGTGACTTTGAACCTGTGCCTCGCTTGGCCTGTACAGACACTTCCATGATTCTGGTGGAAGATGTGATCCATGCCATCTCCATCCTGACCTGCGTCTCTGTCATCACTCTCTCCTACTTAAGGATCATCACTGTGATCGTGAGGATTCCCTCTGGTGAGAGCCGTCAGAAGGCATTTTCTACCTGTGCAGCCCACATCACTATTTTCTTGCTGTTTTCTGGCAGTGTGTCTCTCATGTACCTTCGCTTCTCTGTCACCTTCCAACCGCTGCTGGAGAAGGCCATTGCACTGACGTTTGCTGTCCTTGTCCCATTTTTCAACCCTATAATCTACAGCCTGAGGAACAAGGATATGAAAGATGCCATTAAAAAAAACTTCTGTTCTCAAAAGAGGGTCAGTGACCCTGGGAGCTACTATGATTTCTTCCAAGCTTGTTTGCAAAGGCATTTCATCCTCTGCATAGGTTTTAAAAGCTAACCATCAGTTCCTAAAATTGTTTATGCAGGGTTTTTTTTCATGCTGTTGGTTGGATGTCACTTTCTAATTTTCTGTCTTAATGACCATTGTTGTTCTGATAAATAAGTGTGTTGCATCTTGCATTACTCAAAGATTATCAAGGAGGATCTTCTTATTTGGAAACCTTTAGTTTTGTAGTACAGTCTTTTCCAGTCAGTCAAAGATCATGACCTAAGGAAGAACTACAATTATAATCCACACACCTAAATACCTCTGTTATATACTCTTAACCTATTATTTTAAATTTGTTACTTGTAGGTTCATGCATAAAACATTAACAAAATGCACAGCAATAAGATGAATTTGGTTTGTGAAGGAAGCCTGAACTCCCTAATGTTCAGTCCAATGACAGTTACGACACCCACACAAAGTTTATCTTTGATAAACTTCTATGATTACGTGGCAAATACAGACATTGATTTGTGGTTTCCCATCAGGTGAAAGTGTCAACTATGTTGTGTTTTTTCACATTGCTTTCAAGATTCCAGAGCAAACATTCTTAGGCTCTTAAAGATCAGATAGATATAGTCTATAGTCTTGAGACTAAAACATAAACATAAAACATATCAAGATGTACAGATTTACTTGATATGTTTAAAAATTAATGTTGGGCTGATGGAAAGGTGATTCAATGGTTAAGAACACTTGCTGCTCTTTCAGAGGTCCTGAGTTTGGCTCCCAGCATGCATTTCTGGTCATTCACAGTCAACTGTAATTTCAGTTCCTGGGGCTCTGACATCCTCTTCTGGCCCTTCAAGCACCCATGCACACATGGCATATATATAAATTGTATTAAAAATAAAAAGTTAATGATTATATTACAATGTTCAGTGTTATGTCATGTGGGTTAAAACACCAAGTTGGCACCATATCTCAGGGTCTATGCTCCTTGTCTTTCAAGGTTGATTATCCCTCCCTTTTCTCTTACCTTTGGGACTTATATTTGTCTATTAAATGCTCAGACATTTTGGTGTGTGGTACAGATATCTCTTCCTTCCTGCTACAAAGCTGCACCTGTCACTCAAACAGATAAATCCAAGGACACACTGGGGAACACTGACTTGGAAGAAGGATGCATTTTAGGATGATCTCCAGATGCTGATCCCACCCATGCCTTCGGGTTTCAGCTCTACCCTTCCTAATGTCTTACTCATATATAATAATCTTCCTTCTACATTTATATGGGAAATTTTTCACATGGAGAGAGTCATGTGTAAGTTTCTTTATTATAACATTTAAAGTTGTTTGAGAGAAAAATTGACACACTCGGATCTTAGACTTTCTTTAATCTTTCAATTTGTTGGTTAAGGAAATCAGAATTATGTTTGCTAAAGCTTGTAAAGCTTAGGATTCTGTTTATACATGTAATCGTTTTCTATCATTCATTTTAGACTGTTTCACAATTATTTGATCTGATTTATAAACTTGGCAATAAATTATACTCTAAGATACATTTAAATGTGACATTCTAAATATTTTTGATGAATTTTTGTGATTTTCTTACAATATAATTTGATGGTATTTAGAACCCCTCCCCCATCTTCACTGCCTCTCTCTGCTTCCCTCTCAATTCAATGTACTCCAGTATGCATACAATGCAACCTGTAGTCTTATTTGTGTCCCTTAATGTTGGATGAGTGAGTCGTTGTCTATTAGGGTTTACAGTTGGGTAAGATCATTGATTTGTTTTCTCAGTTGGCAGTTTGCATAATATCCTCTAATACCATGAGAGCTAGTCTTAAGGGAGGAGGCTTCCAGGCCAGTTCCATCTCCATTGTTCCAAGTCCTCTGTCAAGTATGTCCTGTTTTCTGTGATAGCATCTTTCTTTATTTGTATTTTCTTTAGCTTTAGTCATGAGTTTATCCCTATCCTCTTTGAGTTCTTTGAGCTGTTTGTATGTTCTTTAGAGTCGATGAATTCTTTAATTGTGTTTACGATTGTTGTTTTAAATTCTGTGCCTTGGGGTTCCTCTGTTGTGCCCAGATATCACAACCCCCAATGACCACCAAGGAGTCCAGAGAGTATGCAAAAGCAAAGAGCCTTTATTTGGGCTTAAGCTCAGGCCCTCAGATTTCACCAATGCAGCAGATCTGTACTGAGAGCCCTGAACCAGGGTAACATAAGCTTTTTATAGGGAAGTTTTGCTGAAGCCCATGCATGCCAGATATACTTTAAAATGATTGGATGGTCCTATGCCCTGAGTACGGGGAGGATTCTTATTGGTTGGGGCTATCTTTAGGGCATTGGAATGTGCTGATTGTTATCTTTAGGGCCAGAAGTTTCTGTTTTTACCTTATAAGGTTTTTACATGCCCAGGCTTGCTTAACGTATGGCTTTCCAAGGAGGAGGTAGCAACTGGAAATTTACAACATGCCTGGGCTTGCCTGAAACAGCTAGCCAAAATGGAGTTAGTGCATTCTGACTCTTGCATTTTGACTTCTTCATTCCCCCCTAGAGTTGTGGCAGGGTTAACTCTTTAAGCCAAGCAAATTACAAAAGCAGAAAGAAACGGTTAGATGAGTCAGAGTCACACATTTCCCCCTCTCCTAGTAACTAGGGATGACCCAATCACGTGTCTGGGTGCATCTACTTTCATTGCAATTGGGGTTGTCAGGAGCACCACGTATGGTCCTTTCCAGTAAGGTTTTAGAGTCTCATGGCAGTGTCTGCAAACATAGACCCAATCTCCAGGCCGGTAGTTGTGTGGGGTAGGAGAAGGAGCAGTCTCATAAATAGCTTTCAGACGGGGGCCACACATCTTTGTGGGCGTGTGCCACAGCCTCAAGAGAATCAAGCAATTGATAGTTATCAAACTCAGCAATCAATTCAGCTTTTAAATTGGGGAGGATGGGATGGGGTCTTCCAAACATGATTTCATATGGAGTTAAACCCAATAGGTAGGGGGAGTTTCATACCTGTACAGGGCAAAGGGAAGGAGAGGCACCCAGTCCCCACCAGTCTCCATGATTAATTTAGTAAGGGTCTGTTTTAGGGTTATATTCATCCTCTCTACCTGTACAAAACTCTGGGGCTGATAGGCACAATGTAATTTCCATTTTGCCCCCAATACTTTGGCTAACTCTTGCGTTACCTGAAAGGCGAAGGCTGGTCCATTGTCTGAGCTCAGAAGAGCCAGCATACTGTACCTTGGAAGAATATATTCCAGTAGCCCCTTGGTGACTGTTTGCACAGGCTTGGTAGGGTATGCCTCAGTCCATCCTGAAAAACTATCTACCAGAACTAAAAGATATTTGTAACCATATTTGCCAGGTTTTATCTCTGTGAAGTCCATCTCCCAGTGGGCTCTGGGCTTGGAACTGCTTAACCGGGTCCCCTGTTCTTTTGGAAGGTTCTCTGCATTTGTTAGCCTGCAACTAAGACATTTGGAGTCAATTGAATCAACATGTGATTGGAGGTTTGGAACCTTGAGGTGAGAGTTTCTTAGGCACTCTTCTGTCTTTTGAGTACCCAGGTGGGTGGTCCGATGGATATGATTGAGAAGGTCTTTGGCTAGGTTACTTGGTAGGATAATCCTGAATTCCCCTGTATGCCACCAGGCATCAATCTTTTGGGTCATTGGAAGTTTGTGTATCAGCCTCAGGCCTTCCTGAGAGTAGTCAGGTTGGTCTGGTAGCACGGGTAGCCCTGGATCTGGCAGATGGAGAGCCAGGACTAGGGTGGCTTTCAGGGACATCTCCTTGGCAATCTGGTCTGCCTTCTGGTTTCCCGAGCTATAGGTGTATCTGTCTTCTGGTCCCGGGGCAACAGATGATAGCCAGTTTCTTGGGTAGCCATAGGGCAGCCAGTAAGTTTAGGATTTCTTATTTTTAATAATCTTTCCCTCAGCTGTGAGCAGCCCCATCTTCTGGTAGATGGCCCCATGTACATGGGCTGTGGCAAAGGCATACCAGCTATCTGTATACACGTTTAATTTTATGTCCCTGCCTAATTTGAGTGTCTTGGTCAAAGTTATTAGCTCAGCCCTTTGGGCTGAAGTCCCTGCAGGCAGAGCTTCCACCCAGACAGTCTTGGTCTCTGTTACTACTGCTGCCCCCCCTTATACCTCTGTCCATTCTGCATGAAACTGCTGCCATCGGTAAACAAGTGGCTTCTGCATCAGGAAGCGGCTGGTCGGTCAGGTCTTTTCTGAGCCTGTGTACTTGGCTCAAGATCCCCACGCAATCATGCAAGGGTGTGTACAGGTCCAGATTGGGCAGCAGGGTGGCTGGATTAAGGGCTGTGTTTGGGAGCAAATGAATCCTTGGGGTGTTAAGAAGCAAGCTCTGGTAGTGAGTCATTTGGGCATTGCTCAACCAGTGGTCAGATTGCTGCTTGAGAACTCCCTCTATGGCGTGAGGGGTGGTAATACATAATTCTTGTCCTAAGGTTAACTTGTCCGCATCTTTGACTAGAAGGGCCATGGCTGCTATGATTCGCAAACATGGTGGCCACCCAGCTGCAACCAAGCCCAGTTTCTTGGACAGATATGCTCCCGGCCTATTCCAGGGTCCCAGAGTATGAGTTAGGACTCCTTTGGCCACCCCCTTCTTTTCATCTATGAAAAGGTGAAAGTACTTAGTAACATCCGGAAGTCCTAAGGCTAGGGCAGCCAGGAGGGCCTGTTTGATCTTACTGAAGGCTTTTTCCTGGACCTCTGTCCAAATGAAGGGCTTGCTTTCCCATGTGACTTCATAGAGGGGCCTCGCCAATTCAGCAAATCCTGGGATCCACAAGCAACAGAATCCAGCTGAGCCCAGGAACTCCCTCACCGCCCTCCAGGAATGAGGAGTGGGTATTTTTAGCACTGTCTCTTTTCTGGTATTTGTAAGCTATCTTTGTCCTTCTTTTAATATGTATCCCAAATAGGAGACCTCTCTCCAGCATATTTGGGCTCTCTTGGCAGATGCTTGATATCCCAGTCTGCCTAGGGTTGCCAGGAGATCTCTAGCTCCCTGCTGAC